TTTTACTTTTAATTTTAAATCGATTAAATATTTTATTTTATAATATATTATTAATATGCCGGAAAGTTTTATATTAAAAACATTAACATATTTTTTATATTTTTTAAATATTTAATAAATTTTTTTTTTAATTTTTTAAAATTTCATTTTTATTATAATAATAATCATCGCTATTATTAATTCTTTTATTACTTTACGTATTTTTTTTTTCGTTATTACCAAATATAAATTTTTATTTTTTAAACAATATTTTTAACGTTTATTTTTTTAATCTATATTTAAATTTTTTTTAACATTTTAAAAAATATTTAATATTATTTTTTATTTTTTATTTAATATTTTTTCAACCAATTTAAATTTATTATAAATTATTTATTAAATATTTACGTTATTTTTTATTTTTATTAATATTATTTTTTACTTTTTTATTTATATAACTTTTTTAAAAACTTATAACTTTTTATTATTTTTTTATTTTTTTTCTTTTAAAAAAATAATCTTTTTTTTAATATGTTTACGTTATTTATAAAATTAATAAATTTTTTATAATATACTTAAACCCCATTTAATTAAAATTTAACTATAATTTTAAAGTAAATTTATAAAATTAAATTTTTTTATACTTGTTTTTTTTCTTTTTTATTTTTAATAAAAAAAGCATTAACATTAAATATTAAAACCTCGTTATAAATTTTTTAATATTATTTTATAAAATATCTTTTTTTTTACATTAATAATATATTAAATTTAAATAATTAATAATATAATAACTTACTTTATAACATTTAAAATAAATTAAAATAACTTTTTTTTTTAATTTATTAAAAGTCTTTTTTTCTTTTTTTAAAAATAACCGATTAATCTTTTAAACTTTATAAATTTAAAATCTTTAAAAACGTTTTTATTTTTTTTAATTTATATTTATAATTAAATTTCCAAATATTAATTTAACATTTTTAACTTTTTTAATTAATTCCGTTTTAATAATAAATAAATTTTTTTTTATTATTTCCAATTATAATATTAACGTTATTTTAATTAATAAATTTATAACTTAAGATTTATTTGTTAAATTATTTAAATTTTTTACTTTTATTAATTTATACCGTTTTAAAAACGCATTAAATTTTTTCTTTTTAATTTAACATAACATATTTAATTTTATATAAATTAATAAATTACATATTTTTTTATTTTTAATAATAAAATTTAATTAATCTTTAAATTTTTTCCACGTTAAATTTATTAAATTATTATATTTTTTTATTATTAAAAAATAAATTTACCAACAATTTATTACTTTTTTAAAAAATATATTTATATATATTATTTTTTTTTTATTTATTAAAAAATCGTTTATTAATAATATAAACTTTTCTTTTAAATTTATAAAAAATATTATTAAGTCATTTTTATTTTATTTTTTTATTTTAAAGTTGGGAAATTAATTCGGGAATGACTTTTTCGTTATAATTATTACTTATTTCTTTTATTATTATTTATTTTTTCTTTAATTAAATGGAAATTCGGTTTTATTTTTATTTTTAAAATTTTTAAATATTTTTATTTTTATTACATTTTTCGATTTCGTATCGCTATTTTTAATTTAATATTTAATTAAAATTTAAATATTAACTTTTTTATCATATTAAAATTCGAAATTTTTATTACGTTCGTTATTTAATTATTATTTATTAACTATTATTTAACCGTTTTTTTATTTTTTACCATTTTCACTTTTTTTTTTTTTTTTTTTTAATAAAATTTCTTTTATTTTACGTTTATCAATTTACAAATTAAAAAAAATAAAGCGTTAATTTATTATAAATAACTTTTAATATATAATTATTACGAAAAAATAAATAATTAATTAATAAATAATTTATAATATATATATATAATTTTTAATATTATTAATACTTGCTTTTTTTTTAAATTTATAAGGAATTTAAGGTTTTTTTATATATAATATAACAAATAATTAACTGGTAAATAGCTTTAACTTAAATTTTAAAACCTTTATTACGTCATACGCCTATTGTAATCCTTGTCATTTGACAGAGTATATGTTGGTGAAGTATTCATTTCTATAACAAATAACTACCTGTATGATTACCTTGTCTTGTTTAGCTATAATAATCTCTCATGGATATATCTTATACCGCCTTGCGATACGGAGACAAGCTTGGTGAGATAGCCAGACGGTTCGGCATCCCGTCTAGCCATTTAAATGCATGGACACGGGGTAGAGCACCTCGCTTTTAAAATCCCCTTCCATATAATTTTCAAAATCATCTGATGAATATTCGGGATTCTCCCCCTGCTGCTCCTGCTGCTCCTGCTCCTCCTCCTCCCTCCTTTTCTATATTCCCAACTTGTAACTTGTAACTCCAAATCTGCATTATAGGGGCCTGAAACCAGATCTTTATTAGCCCATTCCTTGGTCATTTTTATTTCGGTTCGGGCAATCTGTTTTCGGAATCCAGGGGTGCCCTCTGCATCTCTCCATAGGTATTTGACACGTAAGAGCAAGACGCAGCCTAAGAGTGCTTCGCCAAAGTTCATACTCAGCAAAACCGCGAATGGCAGGCTGCTCAGACTCCGACAAGTAGCTATCGACCGAGATACATCTGAATTGATTCTTCCGGGGAACAAATCTTAGCACATGCCCTCTTTCATAGAGATCAACGTCCCCATCAAACTCGTCGCTTTCGTCTGATTTGCTCTTCTGTTGAGGGCTTGTGTGCTTCATAAAGCTCCAACCTCGTGATTCATGACCGTGTTAGCTCCGATTTTTACATCTTGGGTACTGGTTATTGCCTTGTTGGTTAGAGGAAGTTGAGTTGTAGGTTAAGCATGCTATATGCAACGAAACATATTGTTAGGGACTCGGTATGTTTTTCTGCCAGCTTGTTGGGATCCTTTGGTGTTCTTGTGGTTGGACGACCCTTACTAGGCCGAGCGCATAGAGAGCACTGGCAACTCCGTTGGGGAGCTCCCCAAAACAATTCGTTCAATTACTGTTGACTCTCAAGGCTTCGAAATATTCCTTCGCTGGTACATTTGCGAGTATGCCGTTGCAATTTACTGTGTCCCAGTTTGCGGTCTTGCTCATATCAGCAGCCGGTGCACCCTTGGACTATTCGAAGCCGTGGTTATAGGGCGTCCCAACGATCTTGCCACTCGTACCGATTCCACCAGTCAGTGACGCGGAACTTGGGGATCACGACTTCGTTTATAAACGCTTGAAACTTGATATGGAACCAGTAGGCAGCGATGTGAGGATTCTCGCGGTTGTTGCGGCGGGAGATCTTGATTTTGTTTTCGTTCGAGGCCGCATATTATTATTTGTTAAAATTAGGCAAGTGCTTCTGTAGATCCCACCAGTGGTAATCGGCGGCAGAGAAGGTAAGAAATAAGGACGGGCAGCGGCTAGGTTCGTTGGCATCTTGATCTTTTTGATCGCTTCTACCCGACTCTCTGGGATTGCGATTCTTGATCCGTCGACTGTGAATCCTAACAATTTCACTGATGGATAACCCAGGAATGATTTCTTGGGGTTCAGAGCAAGTCCGATCTCTTCGAACAACTTGAAGACTTTTCTGAGGTGCTGCTCGTGCTGTTTGGCAGTGTAGCTGTATATGACTACATCATCGATATATGCATTAACGAAGTCTTCGTATGGGCGGAGTCTTTGGTCCATGAACCGTTGTGCGTATGGGCCGGAATTTCGGAAACCCATGAGTGCTACGTTCGAGACTTCGAGTCCTCTGGGTGATATTATGGTCATCCGATTTTTGTGTCGCTCCGCGACAGGGAGTTGATGGAAAAAAGGACTCGAGGTTTACCCGCCGACCCGCTTAGGAAGGATAGGTGCCTCGTAGATTGTCCGTATAACGCACTATAGAGTTCGGCATCGCCCGTCAGCCTCGAGGGCGATCCTAAGCTTATCCGCGCTGGGAGCTTGGCTTCCTGCTTGGCTGTCCGTATGGGTTGCAGCGCACTAGAATCGTCACAATGGTTTCCACCTCGAACCATGGCCTTGGGTCGGCGATACATATGGCCTCGACCCAATAGTCTTTGCAATCTTCGATCTATTTGCCGTCGCGATAAAGGTTCTCTGTCACCTTGACAAAGTATGTAGGTAGTTGTCTAGTTTATTGTATGTAAGGAGTTGTTCCAATTGAAAAGAATATATTTTAGTTGATAGAGCGTCTGTTAGAATAATATGTACGCTGGTGGTTGGAAAGAAAAGGACTCGGGATTGTTGATTAGGTTAAATATAAGTACGAGAGTTTGATTTTAAGTATTATTAGAAATACGTAGTTGTAGCTTTGGTTGACTGTTTTGTATTTGTTATGAGTTGAGGAAAGAAATAAATTTCTTCTTGTCTGAAACGAAATTCTAATGTAGTACATAGCAATTTGTATTGCTATGTAAGACACCTGTCACAGCCGGTAGTACGGTTGACAGCAGGGCAGCTGGAAGTTTCTTTTTATTTAGGTACCTCCTTACGGTACATAAGTCTACGAACTGGAAGGTGTTACCGCGTAAATATTTCGAGATGTACATATGGTCCATGCTTTAGATACATATGTGTACCCAGGGGAGGTGCTATACTTCTATTCCAAAAGAAAGTATCATGTACCTAAATTATGATAATAAACCTCAATGTTGGTTTGAAACGGCTTAAAGGCTTAAACAATACCGACTAATATCTGTCTTGTGTTGTCGCGAAGGTTGGTGCCAAAAGTCTTGCGCATACCATAGCTTAAACGATACAGTGCGAGCTCTTCTACTCGCACATACCTTTATTAGCATTAAATATGCAAGACTTTCGGCCGCAACCTTTATAATTGATAAAAATAAACAATCATTAAAGTCATTTCTTATAAATTGGTCAATACTTTGAATATATCAATATCAATGTTTCTTCTTCTTTTTACCCGTGTTTTATACTATTTCGAATCTCCGATTATTAATTTGTAATACACATACATGTAAAAACACCAAGAACCCCGCATTTTCAACTCTTTTGTACTATACATATACCTACCTCAACTAACACTAACAGCGACTAAACAATAAATGGCCAATCGAGTACCCTACTTCTTCTACGCGCCTACGTGGGACTACCCACCCAACGGGCCCATAAAGCTAGGCAGCGTGCTCACATCGCTTAAGAAGCCCGAACGACCGCTATATACCGCAGCCCCTTCGGCGCATGCCAATGTCTTTTCCTCACAGAAGAGCCAGGTCGAATTCTCGCGCGAGAAGCTGAATTCGGGACAGTTTTCTATAGTAACGAAGTTTCTAAGTTTCCTCGGAGTGGGAGTAGATGTTGGTGTAGGCTGGGACATTAGGTAAGGTTAGGTGATTTCTTACGTTATGCCCGTCGATTAAAATAGGTAGACATGATTTATAAACACCGTGGTCGATATTTCAAGCTGTAAATGCTTTATATATAGACTGCTACTGCTACTGCTACTCCGACGATCAAAGTTATGACGCTAGATGCCCCTTAATTTAGGACTTATATATGCCTCATTACTTCAAGACGCTTAATTTCTTCCTCCTCATATGATAGTTCACGCGTCATAACTCAAGTAAAACTAACCACCTTCGTAGTGAGGGAGAGGCATTCAGCTTCGACCGGATTGAGACGACCCAATTCTTCCCGAACCAAGATTATCTCCAACGATGCATTGAAGCCGACCCCGTTCGTCGGTACCTGGATAAATCTCGCTACAGAAAGCCAGTATATATAATCACAGGTATCAAGACTGTTACTGGTGCTAAAGCCAAGTCTTTCAAGTCTCGAGGCGTGGGTGGAAGTCTGGGCGCCGAAGTTGATGGCAGGGTTTGGAGCGGCGGAACTGTTCCCATCAGCAGCGGGCCGACAATAGAGGTGAATCATGGGAGGAATACGGACATGTCCTGGGAAGGCAGCAGTGACTTCGTCTTTGCTTTTCGAGTCCGGAAGGTTCTCGTGGAAAAGAAAACGGGAGTCGTAAGTAAGGATGAGGACTATAGGCGTGGCGCTATGCTGGAGAGGGAGCATAACACATTTGAGGTTCCAGTCCTTTCTATCTTAGAAGAGGATCCAGTCCTTTCCATCTTAGAAGAGGACCCAGAATTGGAACAGGAAGGCTTCAGCAAGGAAGAATTGATGGAAGGTGATATGTCCGTCATCTGCGCTGTTCCGCATCCACGGACAGGTGGAGAGGACGAAGAGTAGACAAGCCGTGGAAGCGAAGGGAAGCTGACATTTAAACGTAGCATCATGTAGGAGATATGAATATAGTAGAAGATCCGGGTGATATTATGCTTGGCTAGTAGATATGTACTGACTTCTCGGAACCATAAATCTTTTTAACTGATCAAAAGATCTCCAATCGTAAGGTCAATAAACCTCTTATCCTTACCAAACAGGCTGTCAGCATATAAGCTAAGATCAATAAAATGGTACCCATCTCGAGCCTTGTAAGATGGACCTTTCTCTGCAACTCGTCGAAGTACGGCTTTCATCCGTTTCTGTCGTTTCAACATGTCTGCTTTCTCTGGCAAATGCAGCCGCGCGTATTGTAAGATAAATGCAGCAATACCGGCGGCTATCGGTGTCGCGTATGATGTCCCGGATTTGTAGTTAATGCAAGAGGGATTTGAGACATCATCGCAGAGATGAACCGGCCATGCCGACTCTACAGCCTCTCCCACTGTTGCTAAGTTGATGTCATCGGGGACAGCGGTAGGACTAAACCCAGACCTGTTACCATTTACATCTGTAGAATTAATACAGATCACATTTTGTTCTCGCGCGGGACTGAGATAGTTAGTGTTAGACGATTATGGAGTAACGGGGTGCTTGGATCTCTTAAGTTTTATGAAATTCGTTATGCTTTTTGGAAGATACTTACTATGCTCTGCCTCGTTGGCCACCGCTGTTGGAAGCAGCAGCAAAAAGAAGTACATGTTTCGAGTAAGCATTCATAATAGCTAGTTCGAGCTCATCATAGCCGTCGATGTCGCAGGTAGGGAATCCGAAAGACATGGAGATGACATCGACTTTCCATGTATCGACGGCAAGGGTAATGGCCTAAGCGCGTTAGTAATTTATATAGCGAATAATTGTTATTGGTATTTACCTTTGCGATAACACTGGGGTTAGACGGCTTATCCTCTGCAATCTTTGCTACATATAATTGAGCATCAGGCGCATAATCAAGAAGTAGACCGAAACCAAATGTGCCATGCCCATTCCGATCATGGACTCTATTTTTGAACTTCTCGTTAAGCCAGTTGTACTTGCCTTTGATATTGTTGCTACGAGCTTCTACGTCCGGGTGAGTGAGATCAATGCCCGTGTCGAGAATCGCAATTTTAACGGGCGGAAATGCCAATGACGAAGCGAAAGGTGTAATGAACTTGTTGTAAACTGCTTGGTACCTGGACTTCCAGTTCAAGTAGTTTGAACATCTAAATAAGAGCATAGTTAGTCCGTGTACTAGATAATGAGAGGGAAGTAGCTCATGGGTGGTTGACATACGCTTCGGGAGAGTGCGCCTCCGAAACGGTCTCGTCGTCAAAGAACCTCGATTCCTTGTAGTAGACATCCTGATCCGTCGGGGAAGATAGAGATAGACTCTGTGTGAGGTGAGAGTGAGAGTCAAGTTTATGAGCCAATATAAATGCATATTGATGCTGGAAATTAGCAAGAGGGTTGAGATGGTGAGGGTAGTGTTGCAGCGATGGTTCCGGCGACGGGCTAAACGAATAGAGGCTATCTACAGTCTCGCTTGGGCTCAATGCGCGAGTTGGTTGGGTTTGCTCGCTCAGATCCGAGATTGTCTGATCCCAGCTTCCAAAATCCAATGTTTGCGCAAAGCGATCAAGGTCATCGATGGAGATTGAGCTGTAGGCTTGTATTAATTCATTTTCGAGTGGTCGTACCACCTCCTGATATATCCTGGTTCTTAAAATCTTATCATCTAATTTGTTTCCATCTTCGTCTTCCCACGTTGTCGGATCCAGACACTTCTCCACGGCGGAATGAAACTGAAAGTTCTCGGGGATTTCGTCTCTACAAGCGCGAAACACCATATCTACGTCTAAATACGTCGTGCGGCTCGATGATTCATCTTCTAACTCAACGCTGTACTTCTTAGCCAATATCTCGAATGGAGTCACGAAATAAACTTCCATTAGCATTGCTGCTAAGGTGACAAGACTTGGGCATTGATGTTGTACTAGATCGTCTGGGTCGATATCATCTGGGTCTATATCACTGCAGTCGTAATCTTCTTGTTCGCACCCTCTATTGCTATTGACGCAGTTGTCAAAGGGGCTTGAATTTGTGTCTAGGCCTGAAAGCCGGGTTTGGATGAAAGGTCTTAAAGGTATTGCGGAAGTAGCGGTACGAAAGAAGATGATGTCTGAGGAATTCCAGGTTGGTTTAAGCCATGGCGTGTCGTGAAGATGAAGAACTGCGTAACTAAGAAGTACGGCAAGGATTCGTCTTGTCCGTTCGGTAAATGAACGCGATCCACCCCTGAGGAATTGTTCGAGGGTTACGGCGTCTTTCGTCTTGTCGACTAAGAATTGGCTCCTCTCCGATTGTAACTTGTATAAATGGCCTCGCGTAACTTTGAATTCCAGTCGATGAGCCGTCATCTTCTTGATCTTTACGATCGGTTCGCATAGCCGTTTTACCTTCATCGCTGGGGTCTGTGATTTTTTCCTCTTGGTTCGGGTGTTATGTGCCTCGTCATCAATCGCCCATTGGACGACTGTTTCTTTCATAGTATGGACCCGAGCTTCTTGCCAGTCCTGCTTCATAGACAGGAACATGTCAAAGTCGATATCTTCCTCAGTGTCGTCGTCTGAAACAGGTTTTCGATAGGTACCCAAAGAGAGCCTAGCCCCGAAATCATGCGTAGGTGAACATGGGCAGTCCTTACATGCCACAAGTGCCTTGAATATTGACTTGGCGGCACTCCAGACAGCATAGGATGGTTCGCTAATATTTCTCTGAGGTGCGAAGTCCTCGGCTGTCCATTGTGAGGGGTCATCGGGGTATTGTCCTCGGAAGTCATCTTCCCACAAGGCCAGTGCCTCAATAAACCCATTGCGCTCATTTGTAGAGGTACCAAAACTGAGAGAATTCTTAATGAATTGGAGTTTTGTGCCGTCATCAGCTTGCCGTATTTGCTCCCAGCTCTGATTGAATGCGAGCAGCTTCGTATAAGACGAGGTTCCGCAAGTAGATTGCCTTAGCAGTTTATAAGATGACAACGTTGAGCCGAGATGAACTAATATTCGGTCCAGGTACTTGACAGCAATCCTAATGCCAGCTCTGTGAATGCGGTTTGCGTGATCACGTATCATGGCACAGTACGCTGTCAAATCGGCATAAAAGACCTTGAGATCTCCATCGTTTTCACGGAGTCGCAGGATTTTCGCAATCTCTTGAATCGTCTTGGAAGTAGTTACTAGTAGATTGGTGGTATCAATATCCCTAGCGGTAATAGAAATCGTTGATACCATCTTGCTTTAACCTGGGATGGAATCAGATACCGACCTCCAATGCCTAATAGTTAATTAAGATATAAATTAAGATGTTAAGATATCACCGGCCACTGGCGAGTCTAGACATCTCTAGGTTAGCGAATATGTATCGAATGTGATTTTAGCGATCTGGCTTCATAGCTCCGTATACCTCCGCTACCTGTTTATCCATACACACGGTGCTCAAGGTGTATTCCGGATGGTTTCACTAACGGCGAGGAATGTTGTTCGGATCAGCGCTGCGTTTTCGGGTGTAAGGGTGTAAGATGAGGGACAAATGCTATATACCACGTGATGGAAGTTCAGCTTATGCACCGTCCATTTATAGCATTTATAGGGCCTGCCTACCTACCTAAGGTAGGTATGTACATAATATAGGAGGTAGGTACGACATCGCTTAGTGCTTCGTACCTTCTACCATATTTTCTATTTTCATGAGGGATAAGCACAATTCTATCAAGTTATACACTAACCTAGTAGGTAGTTACTGGTTACATAAACCTCTATACACCTAGCCGAACACGAGAGCCTTACAACGCCCCGCTTCGTCATGTTCATTTCTCAACTATTTCACTACCAACTGATTGCGGTTACGGATGGATAAAATGTCATTACACGGTCCGTTTCGCACAACGGTCGACTAGAATGGCGGCGACGGCCACGGCCACTGGCGCTGACGTTGATCAGCAACCGCATCCTACAGTAGCTGAAAGCGCCGCATCATGCCTGCACTCTTTCCAGCAATGTGTTCAAAGAGCAGCATCCATCCACCCACGAGAGCTTTCACTTGTGGAAGACCAGCTAGCAAGGTTTTCTGTTTGGACGACTAATATCAGAGTATTTGCACCAGGTCGAGCGGCGTTAGACCATCGCCTACGCGAGGCTCCTGATGTTCAAGATGCCGTTACCGGTCTTCTTGATGCGCTGGCTATCCGCGTCCAGAGCTGTAAGCCGGATTTCATGATTTCTAGCCTTATGAAAGACTGTTTTCTTTTTTATAGGCCATTGGTGGGAATAAATGAGGATATCTCATATTCCGATGGCGAGAACCTCTTTGGTGGCTGCAAGCGAATAGCTACCTTTCTGGACCGACCTTAACAGAAGGCCCCTAACATTTCTTTGAGTATAGTCTTGGTTAATACACTACGACTACACAAACTATAAGAATGAAAAGCTAAGTATGTATAGGTTGGAATAATCTTGAACCCCTTAGTTCCAAGGTAGCTCAAGAGTCTAGTCAGCCCTTAGTAGGGGTCGACCCTAAGTTCCGGAAATCAATCCAAGAAATCGCCAATGAAATAAGTTTACTCCATAGATTTTCAAACACCATTCGTAGAGCAAGCAAAGCGGCCCAGAACCTCAAAGCGGCCGACTCATTTCGAATCCGCGATGATGAAGGGAACGACGCCGAGGACTTTATAACGAAGTTGTTCGTTAACCACATTCGAGACAAATTTCCAGGGGTTAGCGACAGGATTTGTCAACGTCTCGCCGAAACTATGGTACTGCGACGGAAACGGATTCTTTATAGGAGATCTCGTTACGGGGATACTCCCATCGGACTCCAAGAGACTCCCTCTCAACCTCGGGTCACTGTACCCAAAGTCCAACTCAAGATTCGTGCGGCAGAGCAGCCACGGTCTGAGGGACCTCAATCCGGGGATGCATCCAAAAGCGCCATACAATCCGTAGCGCAGAGTGCCACCACATTGGCCCCTAGTAACTTTCAAAGGGCCTCGGCTCCGTCCGTGGTCTCTGTGTCGAAGACTGTAGCGTTAAGTAATCATGAAGAACTTACATTCCCTCCAGCTCCGCTCGGCAGTCTAAAACGGAAATACAACGAAGTTAGAAGACAACGAGAGGAAATTGACAAACACAATCTCGACTCCCCAAATAGCGGGGATAAACTCAAGTCTCTTAATTCAGTATGGAAAGAGAAAGCTAAGGAAATAGGAGAAATTATAAAGGCTGTAGGGGAGGTAACCTGTCCGTTCTGCTTTTATGCCCTTCCAGCAGAGGACGTGATAGATGATAACAAATGGAGGTTAGTTGCCATTGTTATGAAGTGAACTCTACCTTACTAAAGATTACTGCGGTATTACCTACCTACCTTAGGTAGGTAGGTTAGGTACGTATGCCGACAACAAATGCTGACATTCACTCCGCAGGCTCCACGTCAAAAATGACCTCGACGCATACGTATGTCTGTTCGAGGACTGCAGCTTACCTCACGAATTATATGTACACAGTAGCGCCTGGCTTAAACATATGCGTGAGCATGCCATGCGCTGGCGCTGTATATCGAAATCCCATGGGCAGTTTGTATGCGAGTCCAGAGACGATTATCTCACACACATGAAGACCACGCACAAAGGCAAATTCTCCGACGCCCAACTCCAAGCTTTAGCCGATAGAAACGGTCGGGTCATTGGCCCTCTATTTAGATCTTGCCCGCTATGTGGAAAGAAAGAGGTCGACAGCACCATGGATAATCATATCGTTGGCCATCTACGGTTTCTTGCTCTGAAGTCTTTGCCTACATGCGAAGAGGAAGGGCTGGAAGACGAGGGAAGCCAAAAAGGCGGCTCGAGTGCTTCAAGAGCACAGAGTAGGAGGAGCACAGTCGAGAGCGAACTCAAGGGACGCAGTTTAGGAACACTCGAAGATATTGGCGAGGTCAACGGCGAAAGCTGGCGTTCCTTTCTATGGAACGCCCCGGAACTTCGGAGCAAATACGCGCCCTATGGAGGATTTCATTCTTACATATCCAAGTACCATACTCTACACGCCGAGGAAGATTCGACAAACAAGGCTTCGCCCGGCAACACCGCGTCTCCTACGGCATTTCCTCCTCCACCTGACGATGAAAGGCTTCTGTTCAACCATTCCGCTGATCCTTCTTTGGAATTTTTCGAAGGGTCTTTGTTTGACGGAGTACCGGATACAGAGCGACTGGAATTCGAGTGGGGGTTTATTCCTAGCCAACATGGAGCATCCAGGAGTCTCAAAGATGACCCCATTCTTCAAAAGTTTCTTGTCAAGTATGATTATGGGACAATTGGTGAATCTTTCTCAGGGCTTAATGTTTTACCGATGAACCTTTCGGATGTGCTAAACGAAACCGAGGGGCTCCGGACTAGCGCTTTCAGTGGCTTTACTTTCCCCCCTACGTACACCGGGCCTCCCGAATTTCGTCATTTTAGTAGTTCTCCAGTTACTGAGATCAATATTAACGACGGCAGCTATCCATCGCCTTATTTATCCCCTAAACGGGACATTTCTACCGGCTATAACTATGAGGATTGTCCAGACCTGGCTAGTAGTCGCGAAGGGCCATGGTTTTCCTTATTCCCTCAAGTTGATACTGTCACCAACCAGGATGACCACGGGAATCCTTGGAACTTAAAGCACGTCGAGTCATTTAAACCTGAAGATATCGTTTACAAAGACGATGTTACGGAACGGGAACGATTTGGATTGTACCCTGAATCCGACACGGTTATCCGCCAAGATAACATTACCCCTAAACTGGCAGTTGATGATATACTGGCGGCTGGCGATGATCCGGGTGGCCGGAATCAGTGGCCACAACCACGACCACGACAATTACGACAACCAGCATCACCACCACTACTACCATCTCCGCCACCTCCCCTTACGCCAATTAATATCAGTCAGCAGACGATACGCTACGCAGCTCAGGCACCGCTAGAATTAATAGACGAAGATTCTGAGGATATGATGAAGAAAAAACTAGCAGAGATGGATACCAAAGGGAAGAAGGCGGAAGCCGACGACAAGCAGGAAGAATTTGAAGCTCGAATTAAGGACCAGAGCTTAGACGCGATCTTAGACAGAACGAGAAGAATAGATAGAAGTCGAGCGCTTAGGCGCGATTCTAGACAAAGGAAGCCATCAGATAAAGATCCAGAGTTTCAGGATGCCACCGAGCGCGAAAGGACCAATTCGGAAACTTTGGAGTGTGTGATTCGGCACCTATCTAGTCAGAATAGCCGTTACAATGATACTCAGCCAGATAGCTCTGATGATGATGATGATGAGAACGTTAACGTCTATTGGTCTGCTATAGCTAGGTAGTTACAGCGGCGTATTTATAGCGCTTTAGACGTTTAAAATACCTTTTTAAAAAGATAGAGCTAAAGTTTTGCTTAATATAAAAGATTTTTTACTTTTTATTCCTAGCTTTTACCTGTTTATAGCATTATTTTACTTAATTAACGTTAATGTTAAGTAGCCGATTTTAATTAGGGGGAAAACCGTTAAATACGCCCTTTTATAACGGAGATGGAATTACCCTTAGCGCCCGGCAATGCCCAAGGAAAAACTTAAATCGGACCATTTTTGGTTTAACCACAGTAGGATTTGAACCTATTTGTGTTGCGGCCTGTAGGCCCAGATAGCTCTGAAAGTGTCTTAAATTCACAAGAACGCAAACCTCGCGAATCTATTGTAAGGATGGATCCGGATTGTGCAATATGTCATGCACGAACATCAAGAAACCGCTACGAAGAATTCTAGTGAACAAGGAAGTCCGAGGGAGGTGGTAGATGGTCACATGCCGCCAATAAAGGAGCAAGTCAACGCTAGTTGGAGGTCGGCCGTCCAATCGTTTCCTGAGATACTCGAGTACTTTTATAGCCTTGTCGAAGTGACGCTTCCCAGTGACGATGATCCCGCTGTAAATGATCCGCCGCTTAGCGCGCTATCGGGTTCAAGAAAGCCTTCTCGACGAACACATCTGCAGCCTCAAATCGGTTCGGATGCACTTGAATTCAGTAAAGCGGAAACCTCGAAGCAGGGGGAAGCTAAGAAACCCGAGCAGGAAGCGATGGCTTACCCGCTCTACGAGAGGTTCACGAGAAAGGCGTACTTATAGGTTATATAGGTAATATAGAATGCCATCCAACGACCCAGGAGCGTTCTCGGATCATCGTCGGCGTCAACCAGAATAAGGAACAATAGATGGCAAGACTAAGTCTCAATATGCCTATAAACACTCTGGCCAGAAAGGCGCGATAATCAAAAAAGAAAAAAAGAAAAATAGTTAGATTACAAGATACAGGCATTGGAAATACCAATCCTCCTTGGGATATGTATAGGCGTAGTATTGCTGATGTCCCCAACCGATATCATGGGACGCGTCGTGACGTGAATGGAGGGGTTTGGCTGGCTGGTTGCTCTTCTGGTTGATGGGTAGGTGATTTCTTGGGTAATTAAGTATCAAAGGTATCAGGAATACCGGTTCTCAAGGTTAGTAAGGTAATTACCTAACCTATGACTTATGGGGGGTCTGTATAAGGGAGCTGAGGGAGGAAGTCAACAAAATATAAAACTGCTTTCAAACTAACAAGGTATGAGGTATGATACCTAGAAGCATTACATATAAGACAATAAAACCAACAAGTGTAAATAAATATATCAGGGGGTTGCTATCAATATTATACAACTACCCGGCATTCAAATATAGGTACCTGTATCCAAAGCCCACTTCTACTACTCAGGGTCCTATGATATACCCTTCAACAATATTGTAATACTCCTCTCGTAACTACTCCTACTTCTACATCGACTACCCTCACTTCTCCACTCCAACATCACCCCCTATCCCATCCTTCGGCCCCCCACATTGACAATAACATAAGTACAGACCACCATTAATCACACACACCTTCTGGCACAAAATTAAATCAAAGTTCAAAGTTAAAATTCAACCGCCAGTGATCAAATTACCTACCTAGGTTAAGCTAATTAGATCGCAGCCCGCCAGCCAGCCAGCCTTGCCTGCCTTAGGGATAGCAATTTTGTACAAGTCCCACAATCGATCTGCCATCTTTCGAACGTGCTGCTGCTTGCTTGCTTGTTCACTACATCATCCAGCCTGCTTCCAAGAAGAAAAAGAAGAAAATCATTCGTCAAACACAGCAAAGATAATCTGACCAACGAGTAACAACAACTAACAGGGGTATAACCTCTCCTCCCCTTCCTCCCTTCAGTCTGCTCCTGCTCTCGTGTCTGCTCTAGTCCTCTTGGTACGATATCTTGCGCATCTCGCCTAACCGGTGTCGCGCGGAAGCCAACGCGTTCTCGAGCTGTAGAATCTCGACCTATATTTGTGTCTGTGATTAGCCGCTGCATACCAAATACGCGTATAATTATTATTAAGACTCACCTGTTGCTCCATCTCCCGAACCTTGAACTCGTGCGGGTTGAGCTTGGCGTAATCGACTCCCTCGTCCTCTTGGTTTCGGTCCTTGATCATGGCCTGCACCTGTCGCACAAGCGCTCTGCAAGCCGCGCCTACCGCCTTGCTGGCCTGCTCGAGGCTCTCCTGGCTCTTGCTCATGAAGCCGGCCTTGACACGACTGGCGGCTACGAGCTGAGCTGTCGAGGCAGCCACGTCGTTCGAAGCGACAATAAGCTGCTCGGGGCTGTTGCGACCGGATAGCACACCGTCTGCTGTCTCGATGAGCGTATTGGTCGACGTAGCCACAGCCTTCGCGGCTGAAATGAGACCCTCCGTCCATCGGTTGTTCTTCTTGTAGAACGCTGTCCTCGATGAACTTCCCCGACCTGCCTGGACGATCTCTTGCTGTGTAACGGTAGCAGCTTTGATTAGTTGAGCGATAGCATTGGTGACCGCTGTCGCAGCATCGAGTATCGAGTCGTGAACCTTGAGTTCGTAGGTCGAGTATCCGTCGCGGGGTTTGTTCTTGAGTTTAGCAAGACGGGCGGCCGCTGCGGCAATGGCATCAGCCGCCTTGCTTAGTTCTGAGTCGACAAGGTCGCCTAGATCGCCCTTATTGTTCGCTAGTCGACCGGAGGGAGCAAAGGTCTCAACTAGGGTAGTCAACCTCTGCAGATTTAGACGAACATCGCTGCTACCGTTCACAAGAACGTCAGTCTTTTGTAGAGGATCCATGCCTTCTAGCCTGAAGCTTTGAAGGCTACGGAGATGCTTAACGGTAGACTGGGCGGCAGCGCGAGCGCCATTGAGAAGCTGATCGGACTTCTTTTCGTCTGAGGCAAGACGGTTCAGACCCTTCGTATTGCTGCATACATCTGCTATAGCCCCTGCAAAGACGTTGGTCGCCTTGATTAATTCCGCATGAGTGGCATTAGGACCATCGGCGATGAAGTTGCTGAAAGTAGTAGCAAATTCCGAAGCGCTCGCCACAGCCTTTTCGACCTGGGATAGCACATATGTTGGCGAAGCGTTCTGGTTACCAGCCTGCATCGTCGAGTCTAATTCGTAGAGCGCGTCATCTACTCGAACCACACCTGATTGTAGTACCGAGTCAATAATGTCGTTGATCTTGTCAAGGTTCGCCATTATTAGAGCATCGATCTGGCCGTCCAGGGCATTGTCTGTGTCGCCCTGGTTGAGCTTAAGCTCGTTCAACTCAATTAGAGTCTGGTCCATGCCAGCCTTGTAGACCTCGAGCTCTTCCTCCTTTTCACGGAGTAATTGCTCAAGGTCTGAGCTACCGTCTTGTAGCTTAGCCTGTGCTTCTTCTAGGGCACGCGACTTGGTTCGCAGAGCTTCTTCCAAGTCTGCCATCTCCCTGTTGTACTTGGAGAGCATAGTAGACAGCTCGTTGCCTTTGCTTCGCTCGAGGTTGTCGGCTCTGTCATTTGCCATGCGAAGTTCTCGCTTCAGCTTTTCGACTTCATCCTTGTTGCTGCCGTTCAACCTATCCTTGTCGTGAAGTGCTCGGTCTCGCTCCCGAATCATATCTGCTAATTCTAGGTTCTTCGTCTTGATTTCACGCTCTAGCTTCTCGCGCTTCTCGATAGCTTCTTGGGCCGACGCCGCTTTTAGTTGGACTGTCTTGAATTTCTGAAGTAGATCGAGATGCTCGTGGCGTAGCTGCGAGTACAGCTTCGCTAAGGCCTCGTACTTGGTTCGCCATGTGTTGACCTGCTCTTGTAGGGCGCGGATTTGGTCATCCTTGCTGTTAACTTGTTGACCAAAGTTGTTCTGGATTTGGGCTAGCTCTCCCTCAAGTGCCTTCACTCGTTGGTCATATTGTTGCAGCATTAGTTGATCACGCTCATATTGCGCCCTCGCATTTAGATTTTCTTGCTCAAGTTCGGCCAGCCTCCCTTGTGTCTGCCATTGGGCTTGTTGAGCTATTAGTGCTTCTTGTTCCCTACGTTGTTGCTCTGCTAGAAGCCTTTGCTGCTCTTCAAAGTCTCGCTGAGCCTGCATTTGCGCGTCTTGCTGAGCACGAAGGGCTGCTGCTTGACGCTCTTGCAATACCCTTTGCTGTTCCTCGTACTCCTTGTTTTGCCGATCAATCTCACCCTGCCAGAACTCGGCAATCTCATCGGGTTCCTCGGACTTCGGCTGGCGTGCAGGGGTCGGCTGGCGCTCAATCTCTTGCTTTGGGCGGGCAGGTAATGCAGGGGCATTTTCGTCTTCTGCTAGCAAGTTGGGCGGGTCTTGCGGTAGTTTCGGGATCGTAATTAAACTGGTCAAGTAACGCAAGTTCGAGCATTCGTAATAGAACTTGACTAATCGGTAGTGCTGCGCGTCGTAACGCTGCCTCAGGGGTTCCAATGCGTCGTTATCGCCCGTTGCTATGTAACGTTAGTTAAGAATACCATCGGTATTTTATAAGTTGCCATACTTGAATGCATAGCTCTTAGCATGCTTGTGATGAATTTGTAAATTCCATAACTTTCTTGCACCAGAGGGACAATGGCGGAAATTCTACACTCATTGTTGCCAACATTTCGGAAATGTGAAAAGATCAGCTTCTGAAACTGCTCAATCTTGTCCTGGAGCGACATAAGGTCGGTAATTGTCTCGTAGCCCTCGTTGGGATCATTAATCGCCTTCAAGCTGACATATTCTTCGTATTCGAACGTGCCGTTGAACTCGGGGTGCTGTTGGTGGAACGATAGTTTCGCTAGGAGGAAGTAGACGTATTCTCGAATCAGGGGTCCATACCCTCGGACGCCCTCGCCGGCTAGACCTCTATTAAGACTATCGATCCAAGGTCGATTTGCCATAGCCTCCCTTAACGTCTGAGGATGCCCTTCCTGCAAGACTCTGTGGATGGTGATCAGGGCCTTAAACGTTTGTACTTCGTCGGCAAGAATAGGCTGCCTAGATACATCCCTGGTCAGCTCCCACTTCTATACGCTGGTCTCTAGCCACGTACACTTTCATACCAGCCCAGAAGGACTGGGAGGACTTGTGGTCCCATGTATAGACGATGGCGCTTCGTACATGCTTTCGTTTCGGCGCTGTCTCTTCCGGGCTTGTGGCTTTTCTAATGTTGATGGCGAGCTCCGCTTCGGATCTATACTCTAGGTGGTTAGCAGCTACGCAACAACCGACGGTGAAGTCCATGCTCATGATTAAGATAAGTGCGAATGGTCGATCTACATGCGCTTCGCGAAAAGGGAGTTTCGAAAAAGGGGGGGAAGTACGCACTTTGAATGATCAAGACTACGGATTGTAGCCATGGTGAATGAGTCACTGTGTTTGCTGTTTGCTGTTCGTTCTCCGCTACTGATGAATGCTTTGTTCCCACGGCTTTAGGCAGGTGAATCAGGAGTTGGGATGAAGCTTTAGACTCAAGTGACAGCTACTCTCAAGTACAGCGCATCCCACCCACCCGGTCTTCAGGAGGTATAATATAGTATAGAGAACGAATGTCGCGTATGTGGTTGAATTAGGGACCTAGTACGTTTAACATACCAAATGCTCGAAATTTCGATGCCTGACTCGTGCAATATCAGCGTCCTCGCAATCGCAACTCCCACAAGCAGCAAACTCTGTGGAGTTAAAGCCAAAAGATCAATCTGAGGCTGACGCAACTTAGGCTCTTGGAAGCTGTAGAAGCTGTCTTGGAACCATTCGATAAGCATTAAAAAGGGACATGGATCTTTAAACTCTCCACTCCCTATCGTCTAACCTCCGTGGTTTATCCGATGATGTACTTGTGGGGTATTAGCCTTTGATCGCCACATAACGCGCGGCGAGTGCGGCTGGGCATTTGACAGGCAGCACTTAAATCCTTACGGTTTAGTTACATATTAAACTCTATTAAATGAAATTACTGGTTATAGAAACCCCGCCGCTAAATAATGCATCTAGGAGCTTTTTAATGACGAAAGCTTCAACTTCTTACCAAGTACATCATAGCTCTCACCCTCGATGGCTTCGTTCTAGACATACAGACTCTAAATCCCTACTGCTGATGTCAAAGCTGATGTCCGAGCCTTTTGGCTCATCTTACTCCCCTAATTAATTATAAAATTACTTTGCGCACCTCATATCAAAATGCGCGCCACAACGGCTTGTCTGCGCAAGGGTTTCCTGGGCCGCAGTCTTGACGAATTCAAGCGTCTCTCAAATATAGGTATGTCTATACCATACGATTCATATTTGCATAAAATTACCTCATATTAACATTCTACAGCATTAAATCTCGAAGGCATAAAAGGACCCTCGGGTCCGCTTCCCCTCCATGACTTCCACAAGCCCGATTCCCTCGAGGAGTGCAAGCTGATGTCCGACGTCGACATCGGCGGTTTCTCTAAGGCCGCGCTAGATTGGATACCCCCTTCTCCCGAGGACAACCCCCACGGCTACGCGCGCTTCCACGGCAACATATCGACTGCCCTTCCCCCCCACAGACCCGAGGTCCAGCGATCCGGCTACGCCGCATGGCGGACCCTCGACAAACCCCCGACCATATTCGGCCGCGCGCTTTGGAACATCGACATGTATACGTACCTAGGCATGCGCATTAAGTCCGACGGGCGGAGCTACTTCGTCAACGTGCAGACGGAGTCAATTGTACCTACAGACTTGCACCAGCACCGGTTATTTGCCAAGCGGCCCGGAGAGTGGGAGACGGTTATAATCAAGTGGAACGATTTCGTGCGGACGAACCACGGGTTCGTGGTTGAGCCGCAGACGGAGATTCTACGGCAGAAAGTTAAGTCGATAGGTGTTGGCTTGACGGACCGAGTGCCGGGACCGTTCGAGTTGTGCATTGAGAGGATGTGGGCTACCAACGATATGGGCCAGGGAGGCGAGCATGTAGAGCCGCCTATTAGCAGAGAAGGACAACTCAAAGATAAGCAGGGGCGGAATATTAACTGGGCCGATAAATAATATGCGAATGTGTTGGATATCTGGAATCTCAGATGAACAGCTATATTTTAGCTAGGTGTCGCAAGTGACAACACCTTTTTATACAGTACTGGACACGACGGTACTACTGCCGTTACATATGGGTTAAAACTAACGAATACGAATATCGTTGAACGTAAAAAGGATCATGTTCAAAGATGTATGTCTTGCGGCTGGCACCAAAAGGGGGGTGGAGAGAGGGAGGTTAGTCTAGCCGCACGCATATGTACATACAAACCCAAGAAGAATAAACCTCTCATCATACGAAGATAATCTTAAGCTTAGCAGTGACAATAAGGGGGGGATTGCAAGTTATCTCTCTACTACAAATATCCATAGTTAGTAGTAACAATGGATTTGTAATCCAGAAAGGAGCTGTACGATTTTTGACTACCCGTCCATCAAAGGCCAGCAGAATCCCAACCTCAAACAAACGAATTGTGTAGCAGCGGTGTTCAGATAATAAGGTGGCTTTATAAGAACTTCAAAAGGCGAACAGCAGGATTCTACTTGCCAAGGTATGAGGAATATCCAGTTATATATATATATCCCCTCCAGATCATCGTCTTCTCTTGTCACGGACAGCCTCGTAGTACATTCTCCAACACGAGAAAAGGATAGCAAACCGCGTTCGATGAATCTATGTAAATGTATCGTTGAGGTAGGAACAAGACGCCGTGATTCACATACCACTGCATCCACATATTCCACTCCCTCCCTCCCTCCATCCATCTTGACTTCAAGGCGATACAGAACGCACAGCTACGCCTCCTAACCCAACAATTCCTCTCCCCCAAAGCCAAACTCGCATATCATCACCCTAGCCCAAAGTCAACACCCATCAACACCATCACCCCGTCTCCCACACAATAAACATGTGCAATCTAGTCTGGACAGCAGCATGGTGCATCCACGGGCACCACCACATCGGCCACGCCCAACGAAGGCCCGTCTCGTGCGAACAAGTTAGAAGAAAGGGGCGTCCGGCAGGGCACTGCAAGAGCGGCATCCTAGGCTCGGACGATACGGTAAGAACACCTCAGATCCCGATATGCACCAGCTGTTGGAACACGAGCGATGCCGTCACTCTCCGGAGTTGAACGTACAATCACCACCTCTCAGTCTTAGGTATGCGTTAGTCCCCAACCAAAACCCAGCTATTTCGTAAGGGCATACATAAACAGGGCAAAGAAAACAGGGAAGAGTATCCTGTTCTTTTACCTTGATACCAAATTAGTAAGAAAATATCTCATTTCAACTTCAAATCAAAATAGGGAGAACTAAAGGTATAGAACGTAAATGAAGTTAAAAATTATAACGTCTTTAAAAAAGAAAAGCCATATTCTAATAGGAACCGTATTACTTACACCAGTCCTTATATAAAAGCTAATAAATAAAGATTAATTTAAAAATTAAAAATATTATTTTGAATGTAAACCAATCTCATTATTATTAATTATTAATTTACAATCCTCCCATTTTGGTCGCTTTTCAATAGCCGTGTAAAAGTTGTGAATTTTGGTGGGAAAACGCGGGTCTAACGCATAAGAAGTGCATATCAACGAGAAATACGGTCAGATGAGATTACTGGTTATAGTTACGCCTGGTGGTAAGCCATATCCGGGATTGGTGTTTCCTAGTTTTGATAAATTAGCAATTCTAAATATGTTATCTCCCTTCGAGGGTTAGGGGAGACGTGAACAGTAGGTTCTGCAGCACGCTGATGACTTGCTGGTTAAATCCCGGTCATGTGAATTGTCAATATTTAATCATTATAAAGTAACTAGCCTATATATTCCTTCATATCGTCATCCGCTCAGCGTCTCTGCGTATCGCCAAGTATGCTGCCGCGTAATCATTTGCAAGCACGTTATCCCCAGAGACCTTCATAATCGTAGCTTTCTTAGCCATCATCTCGCACTGCTTATCTATATCTTCAACGCTCGAGTAATGATTAAACGCTTTTTCGATTGCCTCCAATGCCTTTGTCATGAATTCTCTTCTCTTGATAGACTTTGGCGGCATCTTGCCTGCCATACCCATATTAGCATCGCCAAGATACGAGTAAAGTTTTGCAGTCATTGTTGCATTCTCGCACTCGAAAATGCGCGGCAGGATTGCATTTAGGAGCTGGATGGCTGGATCGAACTCTCCGAGCGATGTCAATATGTTCGCAATAGCCCCTATTGCTGGCCATAGATAGGGGATGAGACGGGCTCTCCAGGCCACATTTGCTGCCCGTACAGCAATGGTGAAGCCTTTCTGCGGTCGGCCACACTTGTCAAGAAGCTCAGCTTTGATAAGGAGTAATCGAACCCGCAGTGCGATATCTTTGTTCTCGTCTCGAAGTTCCGAAATCATTTTCTCTACTTTCGAAAAAGCCTGGTCGAGATTGCCTCTACGAACAAGGCATTCGATATGAAGGCTGTCAATTACAAAGGCAAGGTCGGGTTCTAGGTCATCATTCTTAGACTGAAGAAGCTGGGAGAGTAACAGTTCCGCCCCATCGAGATTGTTTCGATGGAGATCTCTTCTCAACTTTATTATGCCACGGAACTTGTGCCAGTATTGACTCGGCTTCCAAGCTCGCAGTGAATTGGCATCCATGCCTTCTAATATCCCAAGCGCTTCGTCATACTTCCCCCTAATAGTAAGCATTGAAGCCTGGCGGCTTGTTACCTTTAGCTCGTCGTCAAATATCGAATTACGAGCATGACAGCGAATAAATATTTCGCAGGCAGTTACTGACAGATAGGCGATTCCTAATCTGTCCCATAATGCTATATTGATCGATAGTTGAGAACCGACCATATTCTTCATATTGCGTTCGACTAGAATTTGGGAGCTTCTGACGAGATGCTCAATGGCCGTGGCTACGCTCTCGCCATTCGAAAGGCTCATCTTTGCCTCGCTCATAAGTGTAGAACTCCACAACGTCCACATGCCTGTCTCCTTTGCTCTGCTTCTAAGGAAAGCTAGGGACTCCTTGCCAGTGCCAAGCATGCTATTCGACTCCAACTCCTTGGTTATTCCGGGATGTGCCCTGCCGAAGTGAAAAAGCCAGTTAAGGGCGAAATTTAGACATGTCATATCTCGGTTCTCCCTAGCAGTAGAGACAGTTTCTAGCATCGCTGAAATTGCTTCCTTGTAGCACCCAAAGTCAGCTTGGAGTACTGCTAGATTCATCAGCGCGTACTGATAGAAAGACCTGTCCCTGTTCTGCATCGTGTAGTCAAAATACCGATGCAAATAATCGAAGGAGGTAGAGTAGTCCCCTGCTCTCCATGCATCTAAATAGCTTAAGTAGTGAGATAGGCTTGGTATCATAAAGCTGTCGTTTAATAGGTCGTGAAATTGGTGTTGTATCTCTAAGGGTACTCTGTTGCCGTATTTTTGCATCTGCTCGATCTGGAACTCCAAGAGCTTCTCGATGTCGTCGGTGCTGACAGGTAGGGTCGAATTTGGATCATCTCTAAGCATATCCCCGTAAGTCACAGAGGCAATGGCCTCGGCTCCTGAGCCCCAGTCGCTCTCCCCGGTTAATAGGACATTATCGAAACTGAGCCTCTGGAAAGATGGCGTCTTTTTCCTGTAATATGTCGCTGTAACCTGGCGATATTTAACAAAGTCCTTCCACAACTCGAATGCGTCGTGGAAACGTAATCTTGTGAATTCGAGCTGAGATCTGCGCACGAATGCACCGAACGGCGAGTTCCGGGAGAGCAATATGACTTCAGGAGCTGGGGCTGGAATGCCCAACTCAGCATCACAACGCAGTTCATCCCTGGTCTTTGCCAACAGAGCCGAGCAGTGGTCAAAGAATTCATGTAATGAATCAAGCGAGTCGATCTTCCAAAGCCTGTCTAGGAAGACGTACCATAGACTCCGGCCAGGCATGCCAGAAGCAGCGGTATGTGGTGCTAAGACTTTCTCAAAGTCTGCAATAGAGATGACTAGACTGACGGTAGCTTCAGCTCGTTTCCACCGGCCCTTAGGAGTGGAAACCGCAATTTGAGCATCGCTGTCGATCAAGTGAGAAGTTATGAAGGATAGCACATCTACGATCGAATCTGTAGGGACTGTCTTTTTTGTATACAATTCGATCAGCGCAAGGAGGCCAATTTTGGCCGGGTTGAGAAAGCGAGACATGGTGCCGTTGTTTGTTATAGTTTTTTTTCTCGGTGTGAATGGAACGTCCAAGTATCTGTTATCTCGGGTTTGTCGTTCCAAGCTTGGTTGTTGTAGGCATTCTCCGTCTACAAACGGCCATCACTTGCAAGGCTGATCTCATGAAGGAGGTGCTAGTTTTTTGTAAGCTCGAGAATTTCGAGGAAGTGAACTGTCGCTAAGTTAGTAGTACCATAGCGGATCAACTTATGTAAGATCGAGTATGTGCCTTCCATTATTTTAATTTCATCTCATGTACGGAATAAAGAAGGCTGTTTCCCATGAACAGGCGCGTTGACCCGTGTCGAGCCGCCCCACCTCTTTCTGTGGATATACATCTAACGTATATATGCATTTATCAAATATGGGCATTTCATTGTCTTCCATGCATTAACACGGGCAGTTCGAAGTTCCATAAATTCAAACTTTTGCAGAACTAAATCGTACCAATAAGCAACCTCTAGGAATGAGTGCAAGACAGCCAACGCCAAGGACAAGTGCGATTCTATATACATAGAAGGAGATATATGGGGGCCTCGCTACCGTCTTGCTGGTAATTATACGAAGCGCGCGGTTTACTACTCTGACAAACGATTAGCAAATACGCGTACACATATGTAGTATTCGGCTCCGCAGCCACGAGGATATGTATAATTGACACATTCAGCTGCATGTCATGAATTGTGTCGCCTTTTACAGCTTTAGCCTCACTGTTACTATTCAAGTCTACTGTTAACCCATAAATGAGTTTCTTCTATATCGACGGATTGTCCCTAAATATCGCCGTCTGCAGTGTATGTCATACAGTCATGTGCTCTGTAAGATTGCACGGGATACGCAGCTTTACTAAGTCACTGTATTCAAACCTGCGTTCATCCGTCGGCAGATAATAGGCTGGGGAACCCCGGGTTTGAGCATCGTACCATCGTGCTCATTGATCGGAAGCCTTCAACGGATACACGGCATGTATTAGCTGCGCTCTGCATATTTATGTAGGTCATACGACAGTCTTCCTATTACCTGTGAACAGGTAGGGTACATTAAGATTGTAAATGGAAGCCATTCGCTGTTCTGCGATATATTCTCGGAATACCCTATGTAGATATGTAGGTACATAGACAGTGGTGGCTGGCTACAGATGTTCAGATGCCATTCAGAGTCAAATTAGAAGCAACGGATGATAGGTTCGCAGAAAATTGAATCTAGAAGGTGGTACGATCATCACCCAACTACCTCGAAAAGGAGAACGATGTCCCGAGTCATCGACGGACATTTAGGAATCGGAGGAATAATGTGTCTAGGTGCAGGCCGAGGACAAACGGAAGAAACAATGTTTTAATTTACCTACTATGTACAACACGTTCTCGTGAGTACGGAGGCACACTCTAAATTCGCAATAGATACGAGGTTACTGATGTCATGTACAATCTGGGTAAATCACTAAACAAGGTACTAATATCTTCTCCCATTGGTGAATTGATCGAGCCAAGTTCAGCCTAACCTTACTAGAATTAGCGTTGGTGAGGGACCGATAGTAAGGCCCTCCCTCCAGCCCCTCTAACCCCTGAAGTCGTGCTTTTTCAGCAGGTAAGGGCCCTCTTAGGCCCCCTGAAGCAAACATCCGACCAACCAATCAAACAATTTGTTCTATTGACTGCTAGGTTATTCCGTACACTGGGTCTATCCGGTATACCTTGGCAAGCCAGGCTCAAAACCCCTGGACCTATCAGATCCGGTTAGAACCCCTGCACCAGAAATTTTTCGGGTAAGTGGAGAGTAGGTCGGAGCGTCAAGCGCTTGTGAGCGAATCATTGAGTTCGTATCACGGCAACTAGGAACCGCGAAATATAGTCACTTAGTCAGTTCACCAACCGGCGTTGAATGTATCATAGAATTCGACACCAGCACTTGACGAACTGGATACATAGAGAAGGTAACTTCTAAGTTTCCACCGTTCTAGATTGTCAGTTGTACGAGTTGTACGATTCTAGCGTGGTTTAAGGCTTTTAGCCAGTTATGATGACAAAGAGCTATGTAGGGCGCAAATTGTGAAAATCAGTCCAAGTCAGGGGTGAAGTCGGGGAAGGCCGGTGATGACAGATCTTGCATAAACTTGATGATCTTCCGTCAATGATCGTCGTGTGTTCCCAGTATTTTTGTTCTATTATCGATGAGTCCGGCCTTAGCAGTTTCCTTTTAGGTGATATATCGGTGGCTGTAGTTGTTGACAACCGGCCCCAAGTGCAAACCTTAACTCACTAGGTTAATCGTTTATCATTTATCGTTTATCGTTTGTCGTAATAATCCAAGTTCTAAGGTAGGTACCGAACCTAATCTTTACAACTTCACTTTCACAACTACCTCCTCACATTCTTTTTTTCTATCACAATCTTTCAGAATTACTTCTAGAAGGAGGCTGTGCATGCCTACTTTTGACTTCTAATTTCCCACCTGACCCTGCTTCATTACACTCACTCTCCTCCCCAGACATTTTTACCGGAAACCAAACCCACATTGCTAAACGCATCACCAAATTAGTTCATCTACCGAACAATCACCATCCCTCTAACTGGGCAGGCAATATAATCACGAAGACCGTGTTGCCAGTTATACCCCACACCCTCCCTCCTTGGAATATATTAACTTCTTGGCTAACGGCCTGAAATTCCGTTTGCCAAGGTTAGCATTACGGCGACAAAGGGAACAAGACTGCCACCATACGCCATACGCCATACGCCATACCTGCTTGTTCTTCGAACCATAGCTTTGTTTATATCTACTTCCTAGCAAAATTAGCGACAAAGCGCGCTCTTGCCTCACCGAGGACAAAGGACAAAGGATAAAACATCGACCTACAAAGAATTACTACAACATTCGTTCATAACGCCTTGGTTGTTCCGCAAGACAATGCATTCATAAAATCTTACATCAATACGCTCTTTGCCCTCGAGGCTTCTGGATTACGGGGCGAATCTCCTTTATCTATAGACTTACTTGTCTTTCCTCGGACCCGCCTGTTTCAGTCTGCTACTTCTCGAATAATATCAATATTCAATATTTTTCAACGCAGATCGCGAATACACATACCGTAAGTCGGTACTCAAAACATCATGCCGCTAATAAGCCGTGGGCGGATCACCGCCGTCGGATCACTCACACCAACTACAATACTCGCACTCCGGGATTCAGATATGCCTACCGGAACAGATGCAGCGCCTGCGGCATCAACCATAGCCCCTTTCTCTACATCATTAAATGGTGTTGATCAGCCTGGCAACATGCTATTCAAGAATATGCTGTGGTGGACGCTAGGTATCATAGCGCTCATCGTACTTACTACCCGTCTCATGGAGATAGGATGGACCAAGATACGCCACGTCTCAGCCATGTCGACCCCAGCAGATAAGCAAACTTACTGGAAGAGGTCGCAGTGGAGTCGGATGCCGTGGTTGAAGAGAAATCTCATTTATGCCCCTCTGTGGAAGAAACGACACAACCGAGAGATCAAATTATCTGCTGCTATTAGCATAGGAACCCTGCCGTCTCGGCTTCATTCCGTTATCCTGGGCATCTACTTGATAAGCAACCTCGTTTACATGTGCTACGAGGACTGGTTTCAAGAAAATCGGTACGCTCTGGCTGCTGAGATACGAGGGCGTTCTGGCACCTTAGCCCTCGTCAATATGGTCCCTCTGATCATCATGGCAGGTCGTAACAACCCCCTTATCGGATTGCTAAGGGTTAGTTTCGATACCTACAATCTTCTTCATCGATGGATGGGTCGGATGGTCGTGATAGAGGCTGTCATACATACGATTGCGTGGGCTGTTGTCGCGGCGGCCGCTGACGGATATGATGGCATGAATTACCGGTTGATTCATGACACTTTTCTTGCTTCTGGTTTTGCCGGGACAATAGCTCTCTTTATCCTCTTTTTCCTCTCCCTCTCACCAGTTCGACACGCTTTCTACGAGACGTTCCTCTCATTTCACATCATCTTAGCTTTTATTACTTTCGCCATGACTTGGGTCCACTGTGCGACGGCGACTCTTCCAGGTGGTCTTCCCCAGCTTTCGTGGATAATGGCAATTTTCATACTATGGGGAGCGGAACGGCTAGCTCGCATGTTCCGCCTCGCCTACAACAACTGGTCGAAACGGAACGGCTTTACCGAAGCCGTTGTAGAACCTCTACCTGGTGACACAACTCGAGTTACGATGCATTTACCTCGTCATGTTGACATACAACCGGGAACACACGCATATATCCGTTTCATGGGAATTACTCCGTGGGAGAACCACCCCTTCTCTATCGCCTGGATCGAACATCATCCCGAAGCCGACACGACAGCTCTCGAAAACAAAGCCGATCAAGAGTCCCAAAGGAGAGGTACCACCTCTGTATCTTTCCTCATTGGTGCTCACACAGGTTTCACCCGGCGACTTTATGAAAAAGCACTCAAGGAAGGATCCCCTTCCATTCGGATCAGGGCGGCCATGGAAGGCCCCTACGCAGGCCATCACTCACTTGACTCGTACGGTCACGCTGTGCTATTTGCCGGCTCGACTGGTATCACCCATCAGCTCTCGTACATCAAGCCGTTAATCGAGGGCTTCGACGAGGGGACAATTGCGACAAGGCGGATAACACTGGTATGGATAATACGTGACACCGAGTCTCTGACATGGGTGCGACCCTGGATGGACGAGATACTACGGATGCCAAGGAGAAGAGACATCCTTAACATTCGGTTGTTCGTTACGCGGCCGAAGAATACGAAGGAGATTATTTCGGCTTCCAGCACGGTCCAGATGTTTCCGGGACGGCCCAACATCCCTACCCTGCTCAGAAAGGAGGTCGAGGAGCAGGTCGGAGCGATGTGCGTCACGGTATGTGGCCCTGGTGCCCTAGCAGATGACGTGCGACAGGCGGTCCGCGACGTTCAGGATGGATGCTCCGTAGTCGACTTTGTAGAGGAGAGCTTCACATGGTAAACAGCCATCAGAACTACTCGGGCCTTTTCGGCGCAGACGATATTCTAGACCATCGAACTATCGTGAACGAGGCCGTCATCGGACGAAATCCCTCGGCTTCCAGGTTATAGCCCCTGAAATGCACTGCATGACGAGGATCACGGCCCTGGTAGCCCTAGGAACAATATAGAAATATGTAAGCAGGGAGGGTTACATTTTGCATTCAATCCATAGCAAAGGCGTTAGGGGGCTGAAATCAAGACGGATTTCCGTGTTGTCATATACTAAGGGGTTCTTGAGCTTATTGGCTATATTATGATTGCCCCAAGTTACGATGTGCTTGAGGCTAAGCCATCATGTACCTACACTCGCGAGCTGCATTTTAAGCCAGCGTTGTTTATAGAAGACAAGTCATATGAAAACGCCATTCCTGTGTTCGAATTAAACTGCACCGATTTGCAACCGTCTTACCGATGAGGGCTATATCCGAGCCTGCTAGTAAAAGTTTCTGCATATGGACGTGCAACATTATATGTCACGACATGCATGTCATGTCATGTCATGTTGAATGATATATTGCCTTGTGTTTAGCGGACGAGTCGTAGTGGATGGCTTATAGTGGACGGTTCCGTCGTGTTCCACTAACACGGAAGCATAAGTACCTAAATGCCCCTCTATCCTAAATACACCTCTATATATGCACATGGGGCACATGGGGCACGCAAAGGATAGGCCTAATTTCGTTATGTAGGAGGTACCTAGGCAGTAAATGCAGCTACAGGGGTGAAGTCGCCTACCTGCGGGGTTACCTTGCAGGAAAGTAGAAAACCCCACCTTCCCAAAGATCAAAGACTGTAGACTGGTCCGCAGACGGCACTGACGAAATTTTTATTAAAGAACCTTAAGTAGCCGAAGTAGATCGATAAGTCTGAATCTTCTGACTCATAATATCATAAAGTGTGACCTTTTCCTTCTCTCAATTGGGGAATTTAAATTTCAGAGAATTACAAATTCGAAGTCCTTATTTTCAGTTCTAATTCAATTCTTGATAATCGTGATACTTCCCTCCCTAACGTTGAAAGGCACCTTCGATCTACCCGTAGCAAAGCCCCGCGTTGCGCTCCCACACAGCAGTAGTCCCACCATCACAATGCCGATGTAAGTAGCACCAAAGACGCCCGACAATATAATATGAGGATTCCTGTCAGGGCCCATCCATGATCAGGACTCCGAGGCTGAGACAAGATTCGTCATACAGGCTTAAGGATCCTTCCAAAAAGTACAAGAAGTTCACACCTCTAAACCTCCCAAATCGCCAATGGCCTTCTAAGACGATCGACAAGGCACCGAGATGGCTAGCAACCGACTTACGGGATGGCAACCAAAGTCTGGTCGACCCAATGGTTTGTATTCTGGTATCCTTGGTACCTACGAACATGGTCTGATAATAAATTCTACAGAGTGGTGACGAAAAATGGAGATTCTTCAAGATGTTAGTCGACCTTGGTTACAAGGAGATCGAAGTGTCCTTCCCTTCTGCGTCGCAAACGGATTTCGACTTTACGAGGCGATTAGTCGAGACTCCTGGGGCCGTACCCGACGACGTCTGGCTGCAAGTTTTAGCACCGTGTCGAGAAGACCTCATCCGCCGCACTGTCGACTCCCTTAAAGGCTCTAAGAAGGCCATCTTACACATCTACCTCGCAACGAGCGAATGTTTCCGACGTATCGTGTTTGGGTTTACCGAAGAAGAGAGCATTGAGAGGGCGGTAGCATGCGCTAAATTTGCTCGTTCAATTACTAAAGATGACCCGGAACAAGCTGGTACGGAATGGGCTTTCGAGTTCAGCCCCGAGACGTTCTCTGATACGAGCCCCGAGTTCGTCATCCGCATTTGCGAAGCTGTCAAAGCCGCTTGGGAGCCCACGGTCGAAAACCCTATCATCTTCAATCTTCCGGCAACTGTCGAGATGTCGACGCCCAATGTCTATGCCGACCAAATCGAGTACTTCTGTACCAACATTAGCGAGCGAGAGAAGATTTGTGTATCTCTTCACCCGCATAATGACAGGGGATGTGCCGTTGCTGCTGCCGAGTTGGCGCAGATGGCGGGAGCCGACCGCGTTGAGGGATGTCTTTTCGGAAATGGTGAGCGGACGGGAAATGTTGACTTAGTCACCTTAGCTTTGAATCTCTATACCCAAGGTATCCACCCGAACATCGACTTCTCCGATCTAAACCGGGTTGTCGACACTGTGGAGATTTGCAATAAGATCCCTGTCCATCCCAGGGCACCGTACGGCGGGTCTCTCGTCGTATGTGCCTTCAGTGGCTCTCACCAAGACGCCATCAAGAAGGGTTTTATGCAGCGGGAACAGGAGGGCAAGTCATACGAGGACTACTGGCAGCTTCCGTACCTCCCTCTCGATCCCCAGGATATCGGCCGCACATACGAGGCTATCATTCGTGTCAACTCTCAGAGCGGCAAGGGCGGCGCCGCTTGGATCATCCTGCGCAAACTCCAGCTTGACCTTCCTCGAGGCCTACAAATCGCATTTAGCAAGGTAGTGCAAAGGAGGGCAGACCAGCTGGGTAGAGAGCTTCTATCGGCTGAGATCGCTGATTTATTTGAGCAAACATACTTTCTCCAGGAGCACCCTCGATTCAACATTATCGACTACTCCATCTCATTTGACCGATCATCATCCCCGGTCCCACCGGCACCTGGTGCCACACAAGAAACTAAAAACCTAGCCCGTGTTTTCGAAGGTATTGTCGCTATTGACGGCAGGGAGTACCAGCTTCGCGGTCGTGGCAACGGTCCTATTTCGTCCCTAGCCAATGCCCTAAAAGGTGTAGGCATTGATCTAGACGTTGCCGACTATAAGGAGCACGCCATAGGGGGTGGTCGAGAAGTTAAAGCAGCCACATACATAGAATGTACTGCTGCTGGCACGTCACAGAAAGTTTGGGGTGTTGGCATACACGAAGATGTGGTACAGAGCTCTCTCATAGCCCTCCTAAGCGCTGCTAGCAACGTAAGTACTCATAATAAGCTAGCAAACGTTGGCGTTGTCTCTAACAGAATTCTTCAAACAGTTTATCCTTAGCCGACCGGGAAGTCCTGTCTTGATAAAACAGACGTCGCCGCGAAGCGTCAGTCAGGAGTTGAAGCTCGACTACAACAATCTCATAAATGGAAGTGTCGATTCCTATGACGCCCCGTCCGAGACAGTTCAGGCCTTAGAAGCCAAGGCAAATGGGATGTAAGTTTTTCTGGTTGATGACCTACGGCGTCGGGATATGAGAGAATAAAAAAAAGCATTTGAAAAAGCATATGGTCCAACAATCTGGTTTTAAGTGTGTCTGCGTTGAAACGAGGCACTCGACTGATGCTGAAGCATGAGAAGGGGTCAGCTTCTCATATTTGCATTTATGTAATAGCATAGGTACATAGATGGGGATGAATGAAGTGAAGAGCGTTGATTTAAAGTCAAGTACTCATGCGTGAGATTAGCAACGATGATGGTGGACTTCTGCGGCTGATTATCCCCCACTTCCCCCTTTTTTTAAGGATTGTGTGGGAATTGTCAATCAACATTAGGTACAGTAAGGGCTCAAGCGTGTACATGGTCAGCAAGGGACGAACTTCCCGAACCCTTGACTGGGCACTGGGACGAATGCGGGGAAGAGCTGCGGGAAGAACTGACAATCCGCATTCCGATTTCGCAAACATGTGAACTAAACAGATTCAACGTCTAGGTACAGTAGGTAGGTATTTGCCTAGCACCATAAATGGATTGATTGGTTTAGAAGACTTAATTGAATATATGCATGGCGTTATTTGTAGTACTTGACATATCAGGTAACTAGACTTATATGTACATATTTCAAGAGTATAAGGCAGTACCTTAGGTAAACTTGCAACCCGTATTCCGTAGGTACATGTATATGTAGATAAAGTACCTGGTGGGGTAGGTACATACGAATTGAGCTGCTGCATTGTATCTAAGCCTGCAGCTGGAGTCAATGCTCTTCTGCTTGGGCGAATTACATGTCCGAAACTCTATAAGATTTTAAGGCGCAGAAGGTACATATGATAGGCATGGTACATGCCCACTATTGACATACATTGTAGATAGGTACATTGTAGGAGCTGACTCTATCAAATGTATGCAGTTATGATAGATAGTATACATGTATGGTACCTTAAAGAAGTGGCTCACCGTTATTTCTTCGACTGTGCACACCTCTTTTTTTGTCTAACCTAACCTTTTAAACTTGACCTTGGCCTACATATTTTCTCGAGAAAAGAATAGAAGGTTCTTACACCACTTGACTCAATTTCCCTATGTACCTTGGGCACACAACTTGCATTCTGCACATTCATTCCCTCTAGGTACCTACATACCTACCTTATTCTTCTCTTTCCCTCCTTTCAGGGAAACAAAGCAGCAAGGACGACGGATATTATTGTTAGCCCCTCTTACCAGTTGACGGGGTAATTCTATCAGATTCGTCATTTACCTGTTAGCCTGTTAGCCTGTTAGCCTAGTGCAGTGCTCTGGGAAGTTGCAGGTGTTGCAGGTGTTGCAGGTGTTGCAGGTCGCAGGTCGTGAGTGTCAACAAAATAAAATAAAAAAGGGACCCGCTGCATCACTCCGCCTACCTCGTTAGGTTTTATTTAGGGAGCCAGAAAAAAAAAAGGTCGCTACTGGTGCACTCCAACTGTCCACCGGCGACTTCTGCAATTCTAATCTTTTCGCCTTCTTCTCCCAAAAAACTTTCCTTTCAACTCAACGACTTGACAATACCTCCTTCGCAGTCTCGGACTAGCCTTAATAGAACCCAAACGGTCTTCTTCTGCTTTCCCTGACCTCTTTTACACCACTTATCAGCCTCATTTCGGCTTTTTCGACCGTCTACCACCAACTAAATACCCCCCTTCATAAATTCTACGGGACGACTAATAATACTAAACCCACAAGACTGACGTCCAACACCCTGGAATCCACTTGAAAAAGAAGACGAAAAGGTCGGTCGCGCAGAAAATATGGCTGACAACAGTGATATCAACACTGTTCTCAGCAACTCGCTGTCGCCAGGTATGTATTCCCGACATTCCAGCCGCTTTGACTGTTAAGCGCCTCGCGTGCTCGTACCTACACGTCATATTTTACTGAGCTCTATACTAATCCTTCGCCCCTCTCCCCATAGACGCGGCTACGCGAACCGGTGCCGAGCAACAGTTAATCCAAGCTGCCGAAAATAATTTTGTAAGTTGCCATCGTTGGTTAATTAGCGAGTTGATCGACCATCGCTGACCTATCCCCTTTGCTTTTAGCCCTTGTATTTGGCGACCCTAGTCCAGTCATTGGCAGACGAGAATGCCCAGGGCAACATCAGAGTCGCTGCGGGTCTAGCCTTGAAGAACGCATTCAGTGCTCGCGAATTTTCCCGACAGAACGAGTTACAGCTCAAATGGCTACAGCAGACCGATCAAGAGACCAAGGATCGCGTCAAGGAGCTCGCCATCCAGACACTTTCCTCTAGCAACGCGCAAGCTGGTCAAGCCTCCGCCCAGGTTATCGCCGCTATCGCCGCTATTGAACTTCCTAGGAACCAATGGCCAGATCTTCTGCAGGTCTTGGTTCAAAATGTTAGCGCGGGCGCGCCTCATCAGAAGCAAGCTTCGTTGACGTGTATAGGCTACATTTGCGAGAGTCAGGATCCCGAGCTCCGAACTGCCTTGATCGGACACTCTAATGCTATTCTTACCGCTGTCGTCCAAGGTGCGCGCAAGGAAGAGACGAACGCGGAAGTGCGTTTCTCCGCCATAAGCGCACTTGGCGACTCTCTCGAGTTCGTTGGTAACAACTTTAAGCACGAAGGTGAGAGAAACTACATCATGCAGGTTGTTTGCGAGGCTACCCAAGCCGATGATGCGCGCATACAGCAGGGTGCCTTCGGCTGTCTCAACCGTATAATGGGTCTCTACTACGAGAATATGCGCTACTACATGGAGAAGGCCCTTTTTGGTCTGACGATTCTGGGCATGAAGAACGACGACGAGGACGTTGCGAAGCTTGCCGTGGAATTCTGGAGTACCGTGTGTGAAGAGGAGATAAACATAGAGGAGGACAACGCGCAGGTATGTCGCCATAGTCCGCGTTGGGCTTATGACTGGCTGACAAAACTTGTATAGGTCGATAGTGCCGATCAGATGCGCCCCTTCTATAACTTCGCCCGAGTTGCGACCAATGAGGTTGTGCCTGCTCTGCTACAACTTCTTACCAAGCAAGACGAGGATGCAACAGACGACGAGTATAACTTGTCACGAGCCGCATACCAATGTCTCCAGCTTTATGCCCAAGCCGTTGGAGCCAACATTATCCAACCGGTCATTCAGTTTGTCGAGCAGCACCTCCGATCCGAAGACTGGCACTTCCGGGAAGCCGCGGTGGCTGCTTTCGGAGCAATCATGGAAGGGCCCGAAGAAAAGGTCCTCGAGCCTATCGTCAAGCAGGCCTTGCCCATCCTGATCAGCATGATGGAGGACAGCTCTACTTTTGTTAAGGACTCAACTGCGTATGCCCTCGGCCGCATTACGGATGCCTGCTCGCAAGCTATTGATCCTACCACGCACCTGGACCCTCTAATTCGGTCTCTGTTCGCCGGTGTCCACGACATTAAGATGGCAGCGTCTTGCTGTTGGGCTTTGATGAATTTGGCAGAACGCTTCTCTGGAGACTTTGACGCGACTTCCAACCCTATCACGCCTCACTTTAACCAGAGTGTTCAAAATCTCTTAGCTGTCACTTCGCAGCCGAACATAGAGACCTCCGTTCGTACCACTTCTTACGAGGTTCTCAGCGCCTTCGTCCAGCATGCCGCGACGGAGAGCTTCCCGGCTATTGCCCAACTTTCCGATGTGATTATTAAGCGACTCGAAGAGACCATCCCCCTCCAAAACCAGGTCGTCAGCATAGAAGACAAGATTGCATTGGAAGAGATGCAGACGAGCCTAAGCACCGTCCTACAGTCAATTATCCAGCGACTAGAGAAGGAAATATCTCCTCAGGGAGACAGGATCATGCAGGTCTCGCTTCAGATTCTCAGCACGGCTGGAGCCAAGTCCAGCGTCCCCGAGTCGATCTTCGCCACGATAAGTGGGTTGGCGAACGCGATGGAAGAGGATTTCGTCAAGTACATGGATGCTTTCACTCCGTTCTTATATAACGCACTCGGAAATCAAGAAGAACCCAGTCTCTGCTCTATGGCCATTGGATTGGTTAGCGACATAACTCGATCAATGGGCGAGCGCAGCCAACCGTACTGCGATAACTTCATGAACTACCTCTTAAACAATCTCAGGGTTTGTCTTTTCTCATACTTCCTAATCTTTGCTTGAAATTTATCTTTATACATCTTGATCATCTATCGAACGATAAGTCTAACAAATCAGGTACAGAGTACGACCCTCTCAAACCAGTTCAAGCCCGCCATCCTACAATGCTTTGGCGACATTGCCAATGCTATTGGCGGGCATTTCGAGACTTATCTATCTGTCGTCGCCCAGGTCCTACAACAGGCCGCGACTGTGACAGCTGCTCCCGATGGTTCTTATGAGCTCTACGACTACGTCATATCCCTACGAGAAGGTATCATGGACGCCTGGGGTGGCATTATTGGTGCCATGAAGCTGAGCGGCAAGAGTAAGTCATCTTCCAGGACCATTTTGCATGTCTGTACTAACAATTGAAAAGCCTCGGCTCTCCAGCCTTATGTGCAGTCCATCTTCCAGCTGCTGAACATCATATCCCAAGATATGAACCGCAGCGAATCTCTCATGCGATCTTCGATGGGAGTTATTGGGTAAGATTACACGTTGACTTTGTCTCTTGAGACTATGTGCTAACTAAGATATTAGTGACCTGGCCGATGCTTTCCCTAACGGCGAGCTTGCTGAAGCTTTCAGACAAGACTGGATCACTGTTATGATCAAGGAGACCAAGACCAACAGGGAGTTCCAGTCTCGTACGATCGACACCGCCCGATGGGCCCGAGAGCAGGTCAAGCGACAACTAGGCGGCTCCCAGGCTATCATGCAACAAACTTGAGCTTCGACAATCGCGTCGTTTGAGAGTTATTGCCCACCCCATCCTACCCCATTCATATAAATGCACTACCACGCGTCACCACACTTGATCCTCCCGACGAGCAAGCCCGACTCAGGTCTGGCCTTGTATACAAAGTTCGGAGGGGAACCCAGCATCAGAATTTCCCTACCCGACCCCTGCACCAAACGAATCCCATGTGTATATAGATTCCCTGTTCCCCTTACCCCTAGTAATCCAATACCCCTGCCACCAAACTCACCTATGGAAATTCCCCCGTCACAACACACACCTACCCCACACACCAACACATTTTGCTGAGTTTTCCTTCGGTTTGGACTGCAAAGCCATAACGGAGATATGTCTAGTCCCTTTTAGAGAGAAGATCACGTCATGTACGCCCCTTTACTCCGGGTTTGGGGCCACGAATTCATGTAAGGAAAGGCGAAGGTGCGAAAGCAAAAGATAGAGAGGACGTTGTTATGTCATGAGAAGGGCATTCAGGCCTAGCACAACTCCGCCGAGGTTTTTTTCTAGTCTAATTCAAGTGAATAGACATGGTACGAAAAAAGCCCAATTGGAAGTTCAACCAGCGGCGTCAAGGGATTCGGGGTCTGTTTTACTAGGACGAGCCATTTTCGCTCGGTCCCATGAACCACCCGGGCACCCGCACAAGATTTACGAGGGGTTGGAACTTTTCGTCACGCCGGCCCGGGCGAGTGAGCGTCGTAGCAGGGTTTAGGTTAAGGTCGGTTTTGTGATGATACAACCGGACCGGACTGGACTTGGGTCCGGCTTCGAGACTCGCTCGCTTTATATCTATCCCCCTGCGCGAAAGAGTTTGCGATGAGCACTGCGTGGCATAGCTTTGCTCAGTAGCGGTAGTTCAGTGCTGATATCCAACCAATAGAGGCTGTTTCTACCCGTGTGGTTGACTTGTAATTGAATGAGTGAATGTAAGCGTGATTACCTGTTTTGGGCTTGAGATGTGTAAATGCATGTAAGGTGGTGATGGTGGTGATGAGTTGTATTATGGTGGTTACCTTGCAAATATTGATATTATTCTTGTTGGCTTGGCTAGTTTTATAAAGCATTATTGCGCTCTTGTAGTCTTCAAGTATGGGCTGGCATTTATTATGAATCAATATTTTTGCTGGTGAATTGTAGTTGGTGCCTGTGTTAAGGAAAAGTAGGAGTTGAATGTATTATATCCACCCCCTATTTAAACTTCAACACGACCATGGAGGAGTAGTACGTTATTCACCAGCCAAGTAATCCAGGTAGGTAGTATACAGACAGCATCTATCTTGCCTAATGTGTGTGTATTAATTACTTATATTATCCAGGGGTAACGCTCCAAATCTCGATGTCTTTTATATGTGGCCGAGGGTTTCGGGTGGTTGGTTGCCAGGTAGGTACAGGTATATATCATAAGCTTAAGTGGCTAGGAGTCAAGCAATAACATCATCCAGTTGGCTGGGTTCTAGAAATAACGGGTACCTGCTATATATATAACGATATTTCCTCCCTGTCGAAAACAAGAGAGGTATGCATGGCAGTAAGGCAATAAGATTCATAGTAAATCCTATAACTATTCCATAAGATACTCAACGTTGGTATAACAGCATCACCAACCACGAAACTAACCTCCTCAAATTCAGACCAAGTCGTAGATTTAGACCGAGACCTGGATGCTATAAATAAGCAAACAACCAAATAGACGATAGGTACCATACCATATGTATCTCAGAAAGCCGTGCGTATATACAGCATAGCCAAGTAACCCAGTCCTTTCCTACGCTCCGCCTTAATATCCGTACATGCCTGTACATACAGCATCAGAAGGTATGTCAGTCCTATTCCTATTCCATTTTCCTTCCCAGATCCAAATCCAATACAAATCCGATTTGAAAACAAACTCCCGTGGACAGTTAGATACAGCATGGGTATAGATGTATATAGTGCAAGTATAATGAACTCTCTGAAAACAAATTCGTCATATCATGTCGTGATATTATTTCAGCATATTAACCGCGACTACAGGACCATGACAAGCAGCGAGTCCCCGCCAAGTTCGCCGAATGCTTGCCTCGGCCGAATAGACGCGGTATGACCATTCCGTAGTACATCGGGTACTACTTACACTGTCTTATCTTAAGGCTGGGGAAGATAGCTAGGAATATCGTACGTGCTATACACCAGGCCCGCAGGATCCGCCGGGGGCCACTGTCCACCAGCACCATCGACGAGCATCTGTAAGTTACTGTCGAAACCATCATTAAGCACTGTGGCGGGTGGGTATTCGGGGTAATAAGCAGCGGGCAGATGTTGATACGGATCCATTGTCGTAGGTGTTGGCGTAGGCATATGATGGGATGCTTCGGCTAGCATGTCGAGCCCGGAACTTGGATAGACCTGCTGTGGATAGTTCTGCAGCTGAGGCGGGTGAGGTGGTTGCGGCGACGCCGATTGTTGGTGATATGGAGTCTGTGATAAGGGTGGGAGATAAACAGTTTGAGCGAAGCCAGGTTGTGTTTGCTGTAACGGCGCGAGTCGCTGGGGTTCTGGATCTCCCCTTACTGCAAGCTGCTCTCGTTCGTCTGCGTACGGTGTTGGTGGTGTAGAGCGTATCCGACCAAGCTGGACGGCTTCAGACTGAACATAGCTCGTGGTTGTTCGGGGGTGCATAACAGTAAGGGCATAAGGCTGAGGTTCTTTCTGTAGGTAAAGTTAATTTAGCTGAACCCTAGTTATGATTTCCTCATAAGGCAGCTTACCCCGTCAGTCATGGTGCCAGCCTGGAACGATATCTTCTTGGGATTTGGATCCTGGTACCATTTCTCCAAGCCGTTACACCAAGTCTCGGCAAGAGGCCATGCTTTCTGGCACTCCCTTAGGATAGCCACGATATGGGTATACATATTGCGGCCTTCCGTTTGTATAGTATTGATACTTTGCCCTGCGTGATGGACATCCACTGATTAGACTTAGTAAACGACATCCTTGATCGACACCCTGTCTGAGGGGGGGTAGGACTTTACATTGGGGGAATTTGTATAGATAAGATGCTAGCAATCCACAACCGTAGATAATAAAGCCCTATGGAGATTCAGTAAAAATATAACCATGAGATGTTCGTTGACTCTGCTTACAGCCATCTGGGAACCAACTCTCCCTACTTCGACTCCGGCTTCGTAATGAGCCTCGATCTGAGAGTACAGTTTTCTGACATTAAAGAATAGTTCTTGCGCCATGCTCTTGTAGAACTTTACGTCGGGTTGAGAAGGGTTTCCTTGAGCATGACGAATCATGCTGATTGATATGTTAGCATAATCCGAAGCCCGGTGATAACTACGTACTCTTCCATGTATTCTTTACGGAGAACAATGTGGCAAAGTCGGAGGCAGCCAGTCATGCCAAGATACGCCTGATGCTAGTGTTATTAATACACCCAGAATAAAGGGGAGAACTATGCTCGTACTAGATCTTCTGCGTAGTTCCTGTAGCCGCTCAATGTAACTTTGTTAAAGGTGTGTTCATTCGGAAGATTCTGTTCAAAATCCAGAAGTTTTCGATTCAACTTGATGTATTCACTAGAGCAGTCGTTGGGACGCCCATATTTTCTGTTAAAAAGAAGTCGTCGAGCGATGATTCCCCATAAGTTGTGGACCTGCATCAAGGATGCAAATAGGGACCTTGGCTGAAGTGTGGTAAGGCTCGGGTCTTGAAGGGCGGGCGGCGTGCCGTCAAGAGCTGCGCGCCGCTCAGGGATTTTACCGGTATCGAATTCTACTTCATCGCTGGGTAGAAGAGCCGTAATGTCGCCGGGTGCGAGGGATAACGGCTTGTATGGACCGGAATGAAGGTTGTCTTGGCCTAGCTATCCCGTTAGGAGAAATAAAATGCAAGTTTATAGGTTTAACATACTATGTAACATCCACTATGGGTTCAAAAAATATCCGTTAGATTAGCCTCCAACTAGTCGGGAATATATTGAGGATAAAAGGCTGTCATATCGAATTGGGATAGTTCAGGGCCATTGACTCACGAATGTGCGTCTGGCGGACTCTGCCCGAACCCGGTGCGCTAGAGGCGATTGTTCTGTGATGGGACTATAGGCCTCTTCTCGGTGTAGTCGCATCAGGGCAGCCATCCTGAAGGCGATGCCCGCACTGATCTTTTGAAGGTCAGTATTATTAAGTTGTTTAACCATTCTTCTGAAGTCATCTTACGTAGCTTGTATTCGATTTCCCGCTTCCTTGCTCGGCGATGCTCAGCACATAGAAAGCCTGGCATCTTTCGAGGGTGGGCTGCTTGTAGAGCTCGTGGATGGCTAAGCACTGTGCTTTGTGCATAAATTCGGTTACCGCTGTGAGTCCGTCACCGTAGGTTTCTATTATGGTCTTATTAAACCTAGCAGAAATGGCGAGAATGCTTAGTAGTAGAAATACGTTGACAGATGAAGGGTTTTCCTTGACAAGTTTAGGAAACATCTTCTTTGGAATGAAACCTAGTTGGAAGTAGTTTCTAGTAAAGGTATTGATACCGTCTACGACGGTATCGATCCCTGGGAGGAATTCCCACTCATTATCAGGCTTAGGGGGCTTATAGTCTGCAAGAGCATTGCGTGGGAGGCCAGGGGAAGCAGGTAACTCATTCTTGACTTTAGCATCACTTCTGGCTTTCCTATCGGTTCTCTGACGCGGATGTCGAAACTGTCGATCTTGGTCTGAGTCTCCGCGAGTAGGAAAGACGCTGGCATTATGTGTCAGCTTGGAAGGGAATGAGAGAAATCTTAGAAATTAGAGTACCATTCCTCAGGCACATTCGCCTCTATACATGACTTGCACGGGGGTGCTTTGTCATGAATACACTTGCTGCGCATCCGGCGACATCTAAGAAGAGTCCGAGGTTTAGCGACGGTTTTACTACTTATAAGGATAACACACGATACCTTCGGCATGCAATAGGAGCGCGCCGCTTGATGGGCGGCGCATTTTTAG